TGTTGTGACCCAAGTGCAGGACCCGGCACCTGGTCTTGTTAGTCCTCATACAGTTGGCCTGGTGCTGTATTTCTGAAGTTTACTTGGTAGTTGTGTTCTGCCACAGTCATGTACACTTTGTTTGTCATAAAAGCCTTGGTGATGTTAAAAACTTCTCCTTAGGACAATATGATATTTATATTTCTGCTTACAAAATTGGAATAAGTTTAGCTGGATAGGAGCGATCCTGCTTTAGGATAATATTGTTAAACATCTAATATGGAAAACTCGTATATACAGCTTCTTTCTTTGTTTGAGTGGAATGTCCTGTGATCTGTTTGCAGAACTGAACACAGAATATCTACTTCTGATTTTGATGTGGTTTCCTTTTGTCAAACTGTTTTTTATATAACGTAATTATCTTGCCAGTATTAACTGATTGTAATAAAGCACTTTATTTCTAACATACTGTTTTTCAGAGCAAACACTTGAATCTGTGTGCAAGTCTTATGCTAGAATGTTCTCTTTCAGATTCGTGTGCTTTTAATGGAGCTTGAAGAAGCTAGAGGCAATCATGTGATTCGTGATGAAGAAGTGAGCTCCGCTGACATCAGTAGCTCTTCTGAAGTGATATCTCAACATCTAGTCTCTTACAGAAATATTGAAGAACTTCAGCAGCAGAATCAGCGTCTCTTGGTGGCTCTTCGGGAGCTGGGAGAGGCTAGAGAAAAAGAGGAACAAGAAACAACGTCATCTAAGTAAGTTATCTGTTCATCCTAGTAAACTGTTTCTACTAAGTAGTAATAGGGATTTACTGAAACACTTCAATTTTTTGCTTCTGATCATCATTAATTGTGTGCATATGCATATGTAAGTGCACATATGCTCATGAGGAGCTATGTAATTCATAAAGGCAAATTGTTATTAAGAAACGTTGTCTTCAGTTTTAGATTGTAGACCTATCTTGTAATAGGTCCTCTCATCAAAATCCAAAGTAAAAATAATTGTTGGTCTTTTAGTGAATGTGATTGCATACAACAGGGCTGTTTTTCAAAAAAGTTTTCCCGTTAGCTGAACAAAAAATTCGAATATGTGCATATCTGGTTCACTAGCTGTAAAGCCCACAGATAATGTAATTCTGTATTAAGAGTTCTTAGCCTGATTCTCTGTTCATGCCATTGTTTGAAGTTATTTGCATGAATAGAATTACCTCTGTTCTGCTTTTCATGGAAAAGGCCTACTTTCTTTGTCATCTACAAAATAGCAAGCCCAAAGGCCAATCTTCCTGTAAGTTCGCTCAAAAATCTCAGTGGTGCTTAACTTTCAAAGATGCAGTAAAGGTACACTGAAGGACTTGTGACAAGATGTAAGAGTTGTGTCATCTTGGTATGCCTTGCTGTGCATGTTCTGAAAACAACTGTTCTTGGTTTCAGAATTTCTGAGCTTCAGAGTCAGCTTGAGGAAGCTCTCAATGAGCTAGAAAAATTGCGTGAATCACGTCATCATCAGTTGCAGCTTGTTGAGTCTATAGTTCGTCAGCGTGATATGTTCCGCATATTGTTGGCGCAGACCACAGGAGCTATCATTCCTTTGCAAGGTAAGCATCACATTTCTGCACTATTGGAAAAAAAAAAAAAGTTGTCATTTGTTATGAGTTTGCAGTAATGGTGCTGTAATAATACTAGTAACTTATGTTAATCTGGTATTAAGCTTTTACCCTTGCTCACTGGAAAGCCCATGAATTTGGATTCAGACATGTGATTTTATTTTTACAGTGTAATAACTTGCTACATAATGACTTACATGTAGTGGTGATTACGTGTGTTCTGGTAGCATACTGTAGGTATAAAAAAGAGTTGCTCAGGAGAGCCCAAGACTTTCCTAGCAATACAGTATTGGTTTTAGCTGTATTTCAGCATGGTTATATGATCATCTGCTTTGGCAAGCATTCATTCAATTGTTGCCTTTAAAATCCCCTTTACCTTTTTTTAGCTTCAGGTATATTACCAGAGGAGATTTCTCTTACATCTACTCCAAAGCGCCCAAATTTACCTCAAGCCATGTCAACACCTGCTCCAGTGTCAATGACTGAGTCAGTGGAGACTGTGGAGGCTAAGGCTGCACTTAAGCAGGTATATTTTTCAATAAGCACTGTAGAAAGCTATCACTATTTCTTTTTACTCTTGTAAGCACTTTAATGTCTGTTCTTTGATGTAGTTGCAGGAAGTTTTTGAGAACTATAAAAAAGAAAAGGCAGAGAATGACAAACTGCTGAATGAACAAAATGAAAAGCTTCAGGAGCAGGTCACAGACTTGAGGTCACAAAATGCAAAGATATCCACGCAGCTGGAGTTTGCCTCCAAACGGTAAATCAGTTGTTTAATTTCATTGCCTTACGTATGTGTTCTCTGCCAATAGAATCATGTTGACTGCTTGATATCATTTGATCAGAAAAGGTTGCCAGTTAAATGTTAATATTGTCTGTTCTGTTGAAGAACACAAAGGAAGTAGCAAAGGTGGGATCAAGAATATACCTTCTAGTTGAGTGAGCCATGTATGTGAAAACTGACGCACAAGAACGTGAAACATATAGCTGTGTATGTACACCTCTTGCAATTAAACAATTCAATGTGGCAAACATACACTTTGCTTGTTGTTCTATGTGAAGTTATGAAATGCTGCAGGATAACGTTGAAGGCTATCGTCGAGAAATAACATCTCTGCATGAACGAACCCAGAAACTCACAGCAACAACTCAGAAGCAAGAGCAGATAATTAACACTATGACTCAAGACCTCAGGGGAGCTAATGAAAAACTGGCAGTGGCAGAGGTTAGTAATACAGTGTATTTTATACTCCTAGACATGCCATTTTAGCAGAAGAGTTTTTCTTATGATTATCTTGAAAGCTGTCAGAACTTGAATGTGTGGCTTTTTGAGTGCATCAGCTATTAAATTTGTAAAAGCTTTTGTGTATGTGTGTTTGGTGTGTACATTTGTAACATTCCACAAAATATCTCAAGTACCAAGTGAAGATGGAACAACATGCTGTAGGTGTTTCAATTTACAGAGAAAACAGAATATGATTAGTCTAACAGTTGTGTTCTTACTGTTCTTGGCTTAATTTGCCTGAATTTTAATTTACAATCTATAATCTTAAAAGCTCTTTTCTTAGAATAGTATTAACTGATCCTAAAAATAATATTGTCCAAATTAAAATTAATGGACAGATTGGGGATTAATAACAAAGTTCTTGTTATTATTTGTTGTCTTAAAGGTGAGAGCAGAAAACTTAAAAAAAGAGAAAGATATCTTGAAGATGTCAGATGTGCGTTTGACTCAGCAACGTGAGTCTTTATTAGTTGAACAAAGAGGACAGAACTTGCTGCTTACTAATTTGCGAACTATTCAGGTATGTGGTATTATTCTTATGTCCAAGAACCTATTGGGGTATGTGGTATTATTCTTATGTCCAAGTCTGGTCTGTCTTTCAGAGTTTTCAATTAATACCTATCGAAATCAACTTCAACAGTCATGGGATTGGCTATTAAAGTGGATTTTTTCCTCTGTTACAAATTGATACTGAACATAAAATGCTTGAGCAACTTGTTGAAGCAAGTTTGTTATTCCTGTGTAATTTATGACACTCTGTTGTTTACCTGGGCAAAGTTCTGAGAATTTCGAGTTGATAGAAACAAAACACATAAAACAAATTGGAAGGAAAAAATCTGTATGTTGATTTTTATGATAGCAAAATTTACCAGTGCCTGCCTTGGTAATTTATTTTCCTATTGTTTTAAGGTCTATAAGGTATATTGACTCTTTGGGGCATAAATATTTAAGGTTGCACGTTTTGTCATGTGACTGAATTCTGTATCTGTATTGGATCTTTTGGGTTTTTTAATCCCTGGAATTAGACTGCATGGTTAATAGTTTTGGAAGATTTTTTTAATACTGTTGATACAGTATTATTAGAAGAAAAATCTAAGTCATACATTCTAAGTGCTACTTTTCCTAATTTTCTGTATCTACCTGTTATTGCTTGCTCCCTGCAGTAGTTATTTTGTGGGTGGCAGAAGTGTTGTGACAACTTTGTATGATGTGCTGCAGTAATTCAGAAGAAAATTATTGAAGTGTATTGTAAGCGTAGTGCATTATGCTCTTTTATCAGGGAATACTGGAGAGGTCTGAGACAGAAACAAAACAAAGACTCAATAATCAGATAGAAAAGCTAGAGCGTGAGATATCTCAGCTGAAGAAGAAACTAGAAAGTGAGGTGGAACAAAGACATTCCCTTACCAAAAATCAAGAGGTAAGTATAATTATAAATATGCTAAACTTGTTTTAGTGAAAATTAGTTGCATGGCGTCTGCCAGCTTACAGTGCATTGTTTTTCATATGTAAAATTTATAAACTTATTTGGTCTTTGTGCCATATGTGAATAATTACAAGTTTAAGAACCTTGTGTTTTCAGGTTCATATCCTGGATCTTAAGAGGCAACTTGAGACTGAGACAAACCGTCACGTTAACACAAAGGAACTTTTAAAGAATGCCCAGAAGGAAACTGCAATGTTGAAACAGCAGCTTAACAATACAGAGGCTCAGCTAGCATCTCAGTCATCGCAGAGGGCTCCAGGGAAAGGTAAGATGGTTTTGTACATTTAATTTCTCTTTATGTTAAACATTGCTGTTTGCAGAATGGCAAAATTCATAATTCATAATGATTTAGAATTAGGAGGATAGTACACTAAATAATAAACCTCTTATTACAATCACATATTCAAAGAAACTATAACCAGGATGATTTGTTAAATAAAAACTAATGTCCAAGCAGTCTTTGACAAAGGGGAAGAATAAAGCAAAACTTACTAAAGGATCCCTTTTATTTTTATTTGAAATAACTTACGTCTGTTAGGTTAGTTATTTTTAAATAGCCAGGGGTTTTTGTCAACAATGTTTATTGTAAGCCATTGTTTTGGTTAGGGCTGACGATTTTATTTAGTGAAGCTTTGTAAGGGTGATTGTTTTTCATGTTATTGTCCTAAAAAGACTTCAGTTTTCAACAGAACAGTGGTTTAATAAACAGAAATAAACTTCATCAGTTAATAAATGTGTTCTAATATTATAGGTCAGCCTAATACAAATGAAGATGTGGATGATCTTGTAAGTCGTCTAAGACAAGCTGACGAACAAGTTAATGACCTGAGGGAGAGACTCAAGACTAGTTCTAGTAATGTGGAACAGTACAGGGCCATGGTTCTTAGCCTAGAGGAATCCCTTAATAAGGAAAAACAAGTAAGTAGTTACCATTGTTTATTAGAGTGAAAAAGAAACAAAACCAAAGGGTTTTTTTTTTTGGGTGGGGTGTTTTTTTTTCGTACTACAGTACAATACAGTCTGTAGGATTATGGGAGGAATTACAAAAAACCTAAAGTCAGTTTAGAAGGCATTAGAATATAATGTAGTAAGACCATATTTTAGACAATTTTATTAAAAACACTTTTAATCATGGTGATATTAAAACTTTTTGCAACACATTTTTAAAATGTTGAATTGTAAATTTGACTCAAAGCTGTACTCGGCCAATGTCTTCCTTTGAAAGAGGGGAATTGACTTTTAAAAACTCTTTGTTATAACCCTGTGATCAATGATTAAAAATATTAATTAGCTGTCAGTCAAAAACAATTAAATTCACGCCTTCTGCATCAGTAAGGTCTTCAGTGATGCAAAAGTGCACTCTATATACTATTCATGGGAAGAGCTTAATAACAACTTTCCACTTGTGTACTCCACCATATTAACAGCAAATGAAGCGTGTTCTTCCAAGCTGTTCAGCGTATCAAAGATAGATTGGGGAAACAGAATTCTTATTTTTTTATACTGAAGTTACAGCACCAGTAGACAATGGAGTGCTATTTGTCTAGTATGCAAGTTCTCTGCCTGTATGTGTTCTGTTACTGTAAAAACTTCATTGTGGCTTGGTATGCTTTAACAGCATTGCAGACTTTAGGGTGTAATAAAAAGATATGCTGGCTGCTGCACTTTTGAGTGCAGTCAATTTAAACTGTTCTTAGATGTACTTCATGAGGTATTGCAGCTTTGAAGGGAAATTAAAAAAAATATATTTTCAATGCTATTTGTGATTTTCCACATTTTCAGTGTTGTTCTAAATGAGATGCTGAGAATACCTATTCTGGCTTTAAATTGTTCATAAAATACTGGTTCACATCAGAATACCGTATTTAAAGGGGAAAAAAAGTGATCTCTTATGATGGATTTTAATGAAGGTGACAGAGGAAGTTCGTGCAACAGTTGAAGCTCGTCTGAAAGAATCTTCAGAGTATCAAGCACAGCTGGAAAAGAAGCTGATGGAGTCAGAGAAAGAAAAGCAAGAACTGCAAGAGGAGAAGCGTAAAGCTGTGGAGAATATGGAACAACAGGTATGCACTGAATGGCCCCTTCCTTAAACTCCCTTGTAGAGAGCCCACAAGAACATGCTTTTCTTAATTCCCTAAACTTCAGTTTGTTTTCACAGTATAGTAGCATCCAGAACTAAATCTTTTAGGATGTACAAAAGGCTAACTAAATTTGTTTCCAAACATGCGTAGTACATTAACTTTATCACTTTGTTAGGGTGATTGTGTTAAAGCCGTCACTATCTGCCTGAACTTTGAGCACTGTTCGCAGAAAAACATGAGTAAAAGCTTTTGAAAAAGGTTTCAGAACATGCTTTTTGGAACATGAGCCAAAACCAATTTGTAGTATGCATGTATTTTAAAACCAGAGTAGTCTATTCTTATTTGTCTGGTTTATGTCTGGGCTCTTACTGGGGTTGAAAGAAACAAGATGACTGCAACCAGAATTACTGCAGGCCTGATTCGGAAAGAACAGTAATATATTTTTAGCAGGAAAGAGCTCTGTATATTAATAAGTCAAAATCTTGAAGGTATTTCTCTTTAGATTAAAATTAGTATTTAATAAATAAATAAATAAAATAACCCCCTTTGGTTCTATGTTATTCATGACTGTCTACATTCAAAGCCTTGCTGTATTCAGTGCTCTGTAAAATACTTTGCCATTTAGTCTTGCTTTTGTTCTTGCTGTGTGTTTTTGTTGTTCCCCCCTCCCCCATCACTATAGCTATCAGAACTAAAGAAGAGTCTGTCAACCGTGCAATCAGAAGTTCAGGAAGCTCTTCAGAGAGCCAGCACAGCTCTAAATAATGAACAGCAAGCCCGACGTGACTGCCAGGAGCAAGTATGTTTGTAGTATTTGCCTATTTTAGCCAGAGGTAGTAAACTTAATGTTAGTTTTTCATTGTTTTTTAGTTGAACTCAAAAAGTTTTTTAAAGGTAGTGCTGCTAATTAGAGGCTTGTGGAGGCAAGAAAAGCTCTGTAAGAGCACTTTGTCTATTTTGTGAATAGCTGCTTATTTAGTGCGTCATTCTTCCACCTGATCAAACATAGTGGTAATATCAACTAAACTGACTTTGAATATATAGTTGTGTTGTAAGCACAATTTGTGTCATGTTTAAGAAAACAACAGAAGATGCAATGGATTACTGTTTCTAAGGTGTGTTTCATTTTGTTAAAAAATGAATTGGGGAATGTAATTAACTGTTTTTAATGAATTGCTACCTCACTCTCCTGAGGGGGGAGCAAAAAAGAAAGCTGAGCACTCACAACAAGACAATGGGGAAAATATTTTTTGAACTCGAAACATAATTGTCATTTTTTAAAACTGTGGGGCAATATGATATTTAGGAGCACCTGATAAGATTGTCTTGTACCAGCTGTTATTTAAAGGGAATCTACTTTCTGCAGGTGATAATTCCAGCAACACTGATTGGTGTAAAGGATGTAGAAGAACTTTTGGCTGTTATTTAATCCAACCCCAAATGTAGTAGACAGGCGTTTCCATTTTTTTTCAGCTAATACTATGACCATAGTCTGTCCTTAGTTTTTTAACCTCATGCTGTAAATATCTTTGCCCATTCACATATAGAAGTAACCAGTGGATGTTCTGAGACTAATACCTGCCTGTTATCCGTGCAGAATCTATAGCAAGAGGTTTGATTGTAGAGTAACTATAGAGTGCATCCTCCTTCTAGCTACTCAAATTATTTCAAATTCTGATTTTTTTTAAAAAGTAGTAATTTCTTTAACAGAACCATACTAAGCTCATCTGTGGGGTTTTTGGTTGGGGTTTTTTTTTTTTTTCTTTTTTACTTGAGAATGACAAAGGTTTTGGCCATCGATTTTCTTTTTGATTAGTGGCTACTGACTTTGTCTAGAATTTGAGAATCTCTTTGTACGTAGCAAAGATATATAACTTTAAAGGTAACTTTTTTTTTTCTTTCTGCAGGCAAAGATGGCTTCTGAAGCTCAAAATAAATATGAACGGGAATTAATGCTTCATGCTGCTGATGTTGAAGCATTACAGGCTATTAAAGACCAAGTTGGCAAGAATGCAGCAGTCAGGCAGCAGCTAGAGGAAGCTGCTCAGAAAGCTGAGTCTGAATTGTTAGAGTGCAAAGCCTCCTGGGAAGAGAGAGAGAGAATGATCAAGGTATGACTTGGTTTTTATGGTTTCAGTGGGGTTTTTTCAGTTAACAGAAATTCAGCCACAGAATTCACAGCCATTGAACAATTTTGTTGTAGGATGAAGCTTCAAAACTTGCATCCCGCTGTGAAGATTTGGAAAAACAAAATCGATTATTACATGAACAGCTGGAAAGTCTGAGTGATAAGATGGTGACCTCTATGAAAGAAGCCATGCCAACTGCAGTGAATGTTTCTCTCAATGAGGAAGGCAAATCCCAGGAACAAATCTTAGAAATTCTTAGGTAATTTTAGCTTTGGGCTCCTTCTCTCGGTGGTTATAAATTAGTTGCCAAATTAAATAGTTCTGTATTACCTTTATATTTGAAGGATAATATATAAAATATAAGTGCTGTTTTGCTAGGTAGGAGGTGGTTGTTCTACATCAGTACCTAAGGGAGGAGATTTCTTTCTACTCCTAGGAAAAAAATGTGAGTCAATTATGACAGGAAGCTAAATCGGATTTTAGCAAATGTGATTGGCACGAAAGCTTCATAGAGGTTGTCGTGGTTTAGCCCCAGCCAGCAACTAAGCCCCACACAGCCGCTCGCTCACTCCCCCTGCCCCAGTGGGATGGGGGAGAGAATCAGAGGAGTAAGAGTGAGAAACACTCCCGGGTTGAGATAAGAACAGTTTAATAACTGAAACAAAATAAAGTACAATAGTAGTAGTAATAATAACAATATAACAACAACAATAATAATAATATACAAAGCAAGTGATGCACAATGCAGTTGCTCACCACCCGCCGACCAATACTCAGACAGTTCCCGAGCAGCGATCGCTGCTTCCTAGCCAACTCCCCCCAAGTTTATATACTGAGCATGATGTCATAGGGTATGGAATAGCCCTTTAGTCAGTTTGGATCAGCTCTTCTGACTATACCCCCTCCCAGTTTCTTGTGCACCTGGCAGAGCATGGGAAGCTGAAGAGTCCTTGACTAGCATAAGCAGTACTTAGCATCAGTTAAAACTAAACATCAGTTTGTTATCAGCATTCTTCTCATCCTAAATCTAAAACACAACACTATGCCCGCTACTAGGAAGAAAATTAACTCTATCCCAGCTGAAACCAGGACAAGGTGATTTTTTTCTCATTGTGGTTTTTAGGGGGTTTATGTAGATTTTCAGGAATTTTAATTTAGGACTTTCTTTTTGCTCTTTCTGAACCAATTTTTGTACTCAGTAGACCTTCAGATATAAGATGCTTCAACTTAAAATGCTTTGTCTTGCATTTTCATTGACATGATGCTTTGTTCATTTTCTTATTGCAGATTTATACGTCGAGAAAAGGAGATTGCAGAAACTAGATTTGAGGTGGCCCAGGTGGAGAGTTTGCGTTACCGTCAGAGAGTGGAACACCTGGAAAGGGAACTTCAGGAACTGCAGGACAGTCTCAATGCTGAGAGAGAGAAGGTGCAGGTATGGTTGGATAGTATTGGTTATGATTTCAATAAGTAGAGCGAGCTGTTCTCTGTGTTCTACCCTTTGTCTTTGCTGCTTGTGCCCAAAAATGAAGAGTTTTGGAAGAACTGGGAGCTTTTAAGCTGAGGTTGCTATATAGCCAAATGGAGGGTCTTGTTCCGAGTCCTGTGAAACAGTGTGGCAATTCCAAGATCACATAAATAGGGAAAATAATTTCTCTCATATTTTTTCCCATCTCCTATTTCTTAAGCAATATTTATTTCTTTCGAATGTACATGTGACAAAATGAATGCCATGATAGCTTTCCAAGATGGTGTTATGCCAGATCCAGGTAAGTACATATGCATGTGCAAGCAAAACAAGTGACCATGTTAAATATTTTCAAAAGGTAACAGCAAAAACCATTGCACAGCATGAAGAATTAATGAAAAAAACTGAGACCATGAATGTACTTATAGAAACCAACAAGATGCTAAGAGAAGAGAAGGAGAGGCTAGAACAAGAGCTACAACAAATTCAAGCAAAGGTTAGTACTGAGGTTCCCATAAATTTTTCAGATATTCAAGTTGATGTATTAACGCCTGGTTATACCATTGCTAACTACAATAAATATGGGATTTAAATTGTGATTATTCCTTAATGTCATATACAAATGAGGAAACTTTCCATTTAGAATTCAGAAGACGTTGGTCCACCTAGAATATTGGAAAGGTTAAAGTTTGGTTTCAATTAAATGAAACTGAAAACTGGCATTTATCCTTGGCTAGAGGTATATGAGTAAAAAAGGTGTTGTCAACAGATAAATGAAAAATGGCACAGGAATACATATAAAGCAGACCACAGCTTTATTAAGAGTTTAAAAGGAAGATACATGCCTCTTCCCATTTCTACACAGCAGTTATTTTAATGGAATCCAGTGCAGTGTTGCTTGGCTTCTAACATGTAATTAATAATCCATTTCCTGTACCAAAGTACAAAGAGTGTGAATCTAAGATTGTGAAGTCGTACCTATATTTTTTTTTTTTTCCTCTCTGTAGGATCATCCCCTGCTCTTGCTCCTTGTCCTTCTCCCTGCCCCCAGCTGGCCACTGAAAGGCAGAGAGTTGGAAAAGAAGCTGTATGATGACTTCTTGTGGGTGTTGGGTTTGCTCTCTGTCCTCCTTATCGTCATTGTCCAAGGCCTGCCACATTCCATTTCCTTCGGTCTCATAAGATCCAGAGGATTTAACCCACAGTTGTATTTTTTTCAGGTACGCAAGCTTGAGGCAGACATTCTACCTCTACAAGAATCTAATGCTGAACTGAGTGAGAAAAGTGGAATGTTGCAGGCGGAGAAAAAGCTGTTGGAAGAAGATGTTAAACGCTGGAAAGCCCGGACCCAGGTGGGGAATGCATGTTTTCAAAGAAGGTGTGGAAAAAAAAGAACTGAAAAAAAAAGTTCTGAAATGTCTTAAAAACAACAACCATCTGAGAAATGTATTTGAATTATAAAGCATTTTTTATGCAGCTTCAAAATAGGCTATTCTAATTCATAGGCATTCCAAATCAAAATGTGAAAGCAGTAGCTCTAATTCAAAGCGATTTTCTGGTTATAACTGTATAATCATCTTATGAAAATGCAAACTATTTTCTCAACCCTTCAGCATTTATTGAGTCAACAGAAGGACACTGATCTCGAAGAGTATCGGAAGCTGCTTTCAGAGAAGGAGGCAAACACCAAGCGTATACAACAAATGAGTGAAGAAACAGGCAGGCTTAAAGCGGAAATAGCCAGGTGTGGTATAAGTCAATTAGTAAAAAGCCTTGTGCAAAGCAAAATATTTTAAATAAAGCTGTATCTGGAAGTGTAACTTCTTAACTGTCTCCATGTAACTATGAAACCTTTGGTATTCTTACCGTTGCTTGATAATATGCAGATAAAATGAACTGAGAATTGTTTTGGAAGCTGTCTTTTAGCTGAACTTATTCTTAACTAATGTATTGTAGAATAATTTGTGTTCTACAACTATTCATTTGTATTGCAAAATCCTAGAGAACATAATTCACTACAGATAATGCCTGTGATATTACATAAAAATCAATACATTTCAATATTGCTCAATTTCAAACATCTCATTTGCATCTTCCTCCAATCTCTTGTTATTTAGAACTAATGCATCCTTGACTACAAGCCAGAATCTTGTTCAGAGCCTGAAGGATGAAGTAACTAAAATAAGAACGGAAAAGGACACTTTGCAGAAAGAACTAGATGCTAAAGTGGCTGACATACAAGAAAAAGTGAAAACTATAACACAGGTCAAGAAAATTGGGCGCAGGTACAAGACTCAATATGAGGAGCTGAAAGCACAGCATGATAAGGTAGATATGCTTTTTCTTTGTTTGCAAAGAAATTCTGTAAAAAATACATGTTTTCATCTAGACTCATGCATAATCTAGCTGATGATCTTCATGTTCCTTTAGTATAATACTGTATGAATACTTATGTGTGAAAAGCAGAAAATTACATCGTTTATTCTGCTGTTAGCTTAAACTGCCACAAAGCGTGAACTGCATACCACTTAATACTTTGCAGTATTCTTAACAGAACTTCAGCATTCATTAGAATTCCTGGGGGGTTTTGCCCAGAACTTTTTAAATGATCGGTTTGCATGCAGAAGCAACTTGTGAAAGTAATGGTGTTCTGATCAGATGGTACCCTTTAGCCTGATACCACTTGTCATATTTCAGATGGCTGCCAAAGCATCAACTCAGTCTTTTGTAGAACAACAAGAAGAACAAGTTTCTGTCCAGGAAGTACAAGAGCTGAAAGACTCTCTCAGTCAAGCTGAAGTGAAGACAAAGGCTTTGGAGGCTCAGGTTGAAAGTTTACAAAAGGTGAGAACAGAGTGAACAAGGTAAGAACAGTGAACAATTTCAGAGTACTGTACTATACTGCAATCTTGAATGCATAACTGTGAAGAATGTGAGGGTGTTTTTCTGTGTGTGTGTCTGCATGTGCACATGTATGCACAGATGTATGTGAAGTGACCTATTTGTGCCTTTATCTTGTTGGGAAAGAGGGACCTTAAACCTAGTTTAAATCCTGTGTCTAGTGTGTCTCACACTGTTTCTTGGAATAAATAAGTGGGGAAGATAATGCTATTCTCTGAGCTATTGCATTCAGAGAGGACCGAATTCCTATTGTTGATTAGAAGCTTTTTACCCTCAATATAGTGGCCAGCTAATAGTTGGTCCTTGGAGCTTGTTAGGCTATGTATTTGCCAAAGTAGCTGGTTATGGACAATAGCTACAATCTCTCTCTCTCCCTCCCTCCCCCCCATCTGTCCCCCCCCCAGACTACAGCAGAAAAGGAAAGTGAAGTTAGAAATCTTCAGGAGCAGATAACACAGTTACAATCAGAACTTGCTCGTTTTCATCAAGATCTGCAAGAGAAGACTACGCAGGAAGAACAGCTCAGGCAACAGATCACTGAGAAGGAAGAGAAAACTAGGAAGACCTTGCTTGCGGCCAAGCAGAAAATTGCACAGTTAGCAGGTATTACAGTATTTTTTTTCTGTCTTTAAGGTGTCGTCTTCTGTTTGGGTTTTTGATTATTTCTATGGAAAAGCATTTAGACAGGATGCTTAGGAAAACATGACCTACTTCATATTTTACTTAAAAGTTTTTTCTAGATTAGATGTTACAGGACTTGTTCTAAAACTGAAATTTTAAATCCTTGAGGAGATGATAAAAGTACACCTCCAGCTGTACACCGGAGGTAAAAAAAATTTTGCTTAGTTTTGGCCAGCCAACACGATAACCCCCATTTTTTATTGTTTTGTTGATTAGAGCAGATTGACCCTACTAACAACTCGGGTAATTCTCCCCTTCCCTCCTTGTTCTTTTGTGACTACTTTAATTTTTTTAATCTATATATTTTT